TGATACTTTGAATATTACATGTTAATAACTTGATTGGAATTATAACCTTGAATTGACAGTTTGATACTTTGAAAATTTTGAGCCAGCCCTACCCCCAAGGGCTGGAGGTGCTAGTTTCAAATCCTTTTTAGTCTGAAATCTGTATGCTAGATATTGAGTAAGGTGGTTTTATTGTTTTTTGTCACTTTGAATAATATTTCTGTTCATGTTAAAAACAAAATCAACTCTCTGTATAAATATATCAGGTGACCGTTAAGGCCCATGGGCCTCTTGTTATCGTTATATTGACATATATATACAAATAAAATTGATTGTTAAACAAATAAGACATTTGGAAAGGAATCCAGATAAATTAAATTGGTTGAAAGGATCCCTTGACCGAGGAAAAATGATATAATGTATAAAGATATCTACACTGTGGGCAGAAGGGCCTGGTCCATTAAGAGTATGTATATAAATTTGTATGAAGACTTTTGTTAAAATATTTTTGTTCTCCGCTTATATTCATCGGCTCTTCTGATTGACAGATCACATCATTGTTTGACATAATTTGATTTTTTTTAAATACCCAGGTATGGACATGTAAGCTATTAAGGCCCGTGGGCCTCTTGTTCATTGTTTATGTTTATTTTAGGTTGTGACATTTCTTTGTCAAACATTACTGTTTACATTGTAACGATCATTGTCATTTGACAGGTTTTAGGAAGAAAATATTCTGTGTGTAATTGGCTGTTGACAGGTTTCAAGGGATGACATTTCTATAAAGAATGGTTGTCTATTAACAGGTTTCTCAGAGTCACATTTCTATAAATAGTTGTTTGTTGTCTATAACCATTGAACATTTGTCTGTTTTCAGGTTTCCGCGAGAGTAATGAGAAACGTGTGTGTCTGCAGGGTGTAGACAAGCAAACATTTGAGATGATCCTGTCCTTTCTGTACACTGGGGAGGATCATATCAACAATGCTAATGTCAGTCAACTCCTGATGGCCTCTGTTATGCTACAGGTAACCAGTCTACAGACTATCTGTGAGAACTTCCTGCGTCAAAACCTTAACATTGATAATTGTGTAGGGGTGTGGAGGATGGCTACTGCCTATGGCCTCCAGCATCTCGTCAAGACAAGCTGGACCTTCATCATGAAGTACTTCCCCGAGATCTGTGGAGAGGACGAATTTGACATTATGACTGCCAAGGAGCTAATTCTGATCATCAATGACAAGGAACTGTACACCTCATCTGAAGAACTGGTATGTGATGCTGCTATTAAATGGGTGAAGGTTGACATAGCCTCAAGGTGCAGTGACCTGAAGGAAATATTTGTCCATCTCAGGCTTAGTCTGATGGATATTGACTATCTGAAGAAACTTTTAGTCATGGATGTTATTAAAGAGTGCGATTGTGTGAAGATGGTACAGGAAGTTTTAGATAAGTCCAATGAGGAAGACGACAATAGACTTGCCAGTAACTACAGGGAGGAGGAAGTTATATGCATGGTGGGCACCCGAAGTCGAAATCCTGATCCACAGAAAACAGAGATCCAGTGCTACAGCTATCGTCACCGTAAGACATTCACTCTGAGGGACCTTCCTAAGGAGACAGGTCCCTGCTTTGCTGTATGTACGGATGGCAAGGATATATTCATATCTGGTGGTTACGTGGAACGAAAAATCATTCTCCATTTTGTATCTAAGGAAAACAAATGGGTGGAAAGCAGAATGAATGATGGTCGTTGGAGTCACTCAATGGTGGCTTCTGAAGATTTCATTTATCTAATCGGTGGGATGTCACAGACAAATGCAACCATGTCTTGTATTGAAAAATTTGACATCAATAAAAACTCCTGTGAAAAGGTAGGGGAACTACAGGTGCCTGTCTCATCCATGACTCTAGCTGTGATGGGGAAAATGATCTATACGTTTGGTGGGAAACATAGCAACCGTCAACCAGCCACTGTGATCCAATGTTACAACACTTGTACTGGTTTATGTGCAGTTGTAGGGGACTTACCCAGCTCCTGTGCTGGGAGTGTTGGACGAGCTGTGAATTTTGAGGACAGAGTCTTTCTCATCCTAAGGGAGGGCCAGATAGTGGAGTTTCAAAACAACTGTGCTACACTGGTGTGTAGTAGTACCAAGTTTGACCACTTTGGTGCAGTGGAGTTTGAAGGCCGTATCCTGATCGTTGGAAATTTGAGCGGAAAGTTCACAATGTATCTGTTTGACCCTCACACTAGTGAAGTAGCAGAGTCACATGCTCTTTTTAAAGCTGCAATGTGTAACTTTCATTGTCTTAAGATGGTTCTCAGCAAGAAATTTCTGATGTAGTGACTACTACTCATACTGGGAAATGGTACTCTTAAACTGCTCACATATCGTGCTCCTTAAACGGTGAATCAACCTCCTGATTAGTAGCCATCAAATTGCTCACTAATGACTTACATTGTAGCAGTTGCAATTTGTTTTCACTTTTTGTTGATTTCTGCATACATTGATTATGACATTATCTTTCTGTATAGGATATACTGTATGTATGCAGGATAGTATAATGCAATCAAAGACTGATACAGTTTTAATTTGCATGGGATACGGTATTGCTATCCATTTTAGACCAGCACATTTTCTTGTGTGGTGATATTTTGCAATCCTAGACCAGAACAGTTACAATTTGGTTGATGCACATAATTATAATTCTATCCATTCCAGACAAGCACATTCCTTGTGATGATAATTATAAAATCTGGTACCTGTAACTGAGCGAGATCGGGTTATCTCAGTCGAGGGTTAAGATTCTGTAACATCCCAACCTCGGCTTACGCCTCGTTTGGGATTTTGTTACAGAATCTTAACCCTCGACTGAGATAACCCGATCTCGCTCAGTTACAGCCCGAGACTGAGATAACTTGATCTTGCTCAGTTACAGGTAATTGATTTTTTTCTCGCACCTTTAATTAGAAAAGAACTATTGAATTTTGCTAAAAACTACAAGTATCCCGCCTTTGGTCTCAAATGATAATGACCTCTTCACTACTAAAGCTACATTTGAATGCTTCCGCGTAAAAATGCAGTCCGTTCTTACATGTACAGATATTACAACGTACATTTGTATTTCACAGTGTAGGTTATATTTTATCTACAACATTAAATATCTAACAACATAAAAACTATACATTTAACAACAAAACAGAACATTTATAATGCAAATTGTCAATTTCAAGCAGTTAAAGCGCGGATGAATACATTACAGTGTAAAAATTCCGCGAAATGTCACGTAAAGGTACAAGACAAATCGGACAAGATAGAAAAATCTAGCATGGGGTATAACGTGGGATATCTCTGTCTGAGGTGCGAGAAATATTAATCCTATACAAGAACAATTTTAATTTGATAGTGCATTCTTGGATCAGTACAGTTTTATGCTGGAAAGTAAATTTCAATCCTGGTCCAAAAGCTTCCTACTGAAGGGTACAGTCTGTTTTTTTGCAATCCTTGACCAGCAGTGTCTTATGGAAATTTGAAACTTTTTGTTTAGATTTCAGACCGCTTTTACCCTAGACAGGTGTATCCGCACTTTTAAGGGTGTGATATATCCTTGTCTCGCCCAAAGGTTGAGGCGGGGGTATTCCCCTATTCGTAACAATGGTATGACGCCACGTTAACAATATGATGATGTCACATTAACAGTACCATGATGTCAGCTCAATAATCCATCAACGTCACATCAACCCTGAATTTAGCCTGTAAAGTTAACAGTACTTTATGTACAAAAATGTATATGATACAAAATGGGTGTGCAGGGTAAGAGAAAAAGAATCATTCATCCCCTTGAGGGTGAGATAGCGGAAACCCTCGGGGAAAGATTCTTAAGTTCCCAATCACCTGGCAAAGCCTCATGTTTGGCAACTTAAGAATCTTCCCCCTCGGGTTGAGATTAATAGAATTTCTGCCGCCCTTGGGAATCTCAACCCGAGAGAGGAGGTTCTTAAGTTGCCAAACACAAGCTTTTTAAGGCTTTGCAAAGTGTTTGGCAACATAGAAATAGTTCACTATTTCCCAGGAACTACTAATAGGTCTTTAAGATATGGCAATAATTGGTTCCATTACTTTCACACTAAGTACTGTACTATTAAATACATTAAATGAAACTACAAACTCACTTTGAAGGTTGTCTTTTATACCCAGCAGTATGAAGTTCAGATCAAAAGTTACCCCAAGGTGCATTTGTTTTTCACCTGACTCAATCAAACAGAGAAGAGAAGAGAAAAGATCAAATTGACAGAACTAATGAAGATGATAAGATGGTGGGCGCCAATCTATCTCTGGGACCTCTTGTTTTATCTTTTGGTCTGAAAGCTGCTACAAAAAAAGATGGAATATGAAATACTCGTTTGACTAAATCAAAATACCCAGTAGCTCTTTCAAACATGATCAAACGTCTACAGGTCGACTGTCATTTGTGTATACAGATCAAACGTCTACAGGTCTACTGTCATTTGTGTATTCAGATAAAACGTCTACAGGTCGGCTCATTTGTGTTTACAGATCAAACGTCTTCAGGTCGACTGTCATTTTTGTATACAGCTCACATGTCTACAGGTCTACTGTCATTTGTGTATTCAGATCAAACGTCTGCAGGTCGACTGTCATTGGTGTATACAGATCAAATGTTTACTGGTCGACTCATTTGTGTATACAAATCACACGTCTACAGGTCGACTGTCATTTGTGTATACAGATCAAATGTTTACTGGTCGACTCATTTGTGTATACAGATCAAACGTCTACAGGTCGACTGTCATTTGTGTATACAGATCAAACGTCTACAGGTCGACTCATTTGTGTTTACAGGTCAAATGTCTACAGGCCAGGTCGACTGTCATTTGTGTTTACAGATCAAACGTCTACAGGTCGACTGTCATTTGTGTATACAGATCAAACGTCTACAGGTCGACAGTCATTTGTGTATACAGATCAAATGTCTACAGGTCGACTGTCATTTGTGTATACAGATCAAACGTCTACAGGCCAGGGCGACTGTCATTTGTGTATTCAGATCAAACGTCTACAGGTCAACTGTCATTTGTGTATACGGATCAAACGTCTACAGGTCGACAGTCATTTGTGTATGCAGATCAAATGTCTACAGGTCGACTGTCATTTGCGTATACAGATCAAACGTCTACAGGCCAGGTCGACTATATCATTTGTGTTTACAGATCAAACGGCTACAGGCCAGGTCGACTGTCATTTGTGTTTACAGATCAAACGTCTACAGGTCGATTGTCATTTGTGTATACAGATTAAATGTCTACAGGTCGACTGTCATTTGTGTATACAGATCAAACATTTACAGGTCGACTGTCATTTGTGTATACAGATCAAAATGACAGAACTAATGAAGATGATACGATGGTGGGCGCCAATATCTCTCCGAGACCTCTTGTTTTATTAGTAGGCTGTGTAGAATCCGTTTGGAAAATACATTGTAATTCTAGTCTTATGTTACTTATGTTACGTTAGAAATAATTAACACATGTTTGTGTTGTATGGTGGAATAAATAACGTTGATTGCGTAGGGTTGATTATTTTTCCAAAATTTTAAAATCCCGAGTTATATTTTCCACCTTTATATACAAATGTGTTTTGATTATATCTCTTCTATTAAAATGTTTTGAAAGTCATTTTATTCTAGTGACGTTTGAAGTAAATGCGACGAAACATGCATTCTGACTGTGGGCTTGACAGGTTTTAAGTAGATACAAAGGTTTGATAGAAACTTGTTTTCGCTGGAAAATCGTCATATAAGTTCAATGCGAATACCAGAAACAAGTCCCGTGGCTCACTTGTTTACACTCAAGGGGGGTGGGGGTTGAAAGAGCATTGGTCTGTTGGAAAATAAGATGCGCAATTGCATGGTAAATAGTCAAATTATCCATGCACATATGGTTATTAACCAATGAAAAGTGTCTTTACATTGCAAATGGTGTAGAATACCTGTGACCTGTAATTTTGTGTTGATCATTTTCAGAGACATATCAGCTTGCGCTTATGGTTTCGAAAGAGAATTGTAAATCCTTGATGAAAGGTTATGTATCGCGATTGCAGCCAGTTAAGTTAGTGTTTGGGTGTGACATGGCGATGACTAGTACGGTACAAACCTTGTCACCCTCGTCAGACAAATGACCAGTGAAGCGTAGGTACAGGTATAAAATAGGTAAGAGTTGGATATATATATAATGGACTTGTGATGTCCTATACCTATATGCAAATGGACACCCAATACAGGTCGATTTAATTGCTCGCTTTTAAGCATAGTCATTTCGCTTCTGATGATTGTGACAAAGTGTATTTTGTTCTAGTCATTGAAACGTCAAACATACACAACATAGAGAAAATGTTTAGAAAAAGGGTGAACATGAAGATGTAAAACCCTCAACAAGCTGTTACTCCTGGATCATCAACATTGTTCAGATGCTGATGCATTATGTTTTTGTTGTGCTAAACTTAATCATGAGAAATATTTACATTTTATGCATTTATATTAACCAATATCATGATAAAGGTGCTATTTGTTTAGTCTGAACAGCGGTCTATCCAATTAGCCAACATAACAGTATCACAAGGATAGGATTACAACGTTAAATAGTGTGTTTACTCCTGCTTTGGAGAGGACATCGAAGACAGCCTAAGCTTTGATCCCAACCCCGTGTAATAGTGTTTGTATGTTATACATGCAATGTTGGCCAATTGGAACACTTTGTTGAGCCTCATTTGGGAGAATAATTCATAACACCTCCGATTTTGTTTTATCTATGTTATATATAAATATTATATTATTATAAATTCAAGCTACACTGTACATACATCTATATTATAAGATTTGTCCTTACCACCAGTATCTTAGAGGTGATAAACATGTACTACAATGGTAGCCGGTTGATTACTGCATAGTTCCGGGATACTGTTGTTTTTACATTAACGGGACACATACGCGATATTCAACGGGAAACCGTATTTATTGCATTTTATTGCGATTGAACTATTGAAAAATACCATAATTTTATAGAAGTTTATAGAACTGGTATTTCTCTACCTGTCACTAGTATATATATGTTTCTTTTGATATGCTTGATCTTCTCCTACAATACTAAATATTTGGGTAAGTTACTCTATGATTTCTTGAGTTGTCGGGACTCATCTTCGGTGTCACTTAAAGTTTATATAAGTCAAAGTTCCGTAATTTAAAGTTTTCATTGTAGGAGCTGGAACAAATAAATAAATACATATTATAATTACCACCCGAACTTGTTCTGAATAGTTTTATGTGAAATTAATATGCGTTTACAATGGTACACTAAAACTAAGCACACGGAATTTAATCATCTATTCCTCGATGAGGTACAATGAACAGGAACATGTAATAAAGTAAGTTTTGCCAGGTAAACCTACCGAATGGTATCGCTAATTGACTCTATTTTTTGTAATCTTATAGAAAAGTAAAATGTAGAAATTCCTTGTTCGACATTCCTGGCCGTCATCGTTTGACAAGCTATCCTTATACATATAGAAGAAAGATAACTCTGACAAACAGCTATCTCACCTATAAGCTAGTGCTTTCAAAACATTGGTAAGATTTTTTTCAAACCAACTATCGATTACAAAATTTGAACTACTTCCCACCAATTTTAAAAGCCTTTTGTATGCTTATTGGCATATCTGTTAGACTTATATAATGCTTGGATTCAGTACAACACGACACAAAATGAAATAATCCAATAAAAGATTACTACTGCCAATGCCCAGTTGGTAAAAGAACTATGGGAATGCGTGCTCTTATATCAAGTATACTTTATTATCTTGGCTATCATAGCAATCTTCAAAATCAGAACAGTTGCACCCTAGGACTAAGAAGTTCCGACAAAGCTTGAAATAAGTAGTTTTCGTTTGAATCTTTAATCACCAGTTTGAAAACAAACTCAAGAGCTTCGCATCATTTTTCTCTTCCTTCTTTTTTACAAGTCTGCCATTCGAACACATTT